AGGTCACTACCACTTCTTTTGTGACTGACAGGAGGTGGTTTGCTAGTGTCATATGATGGGGCTTCTAGAGCCCGTAGCTGTGCCTGATGGGTTCTCCATGGGAGATTATGGATGAAGGGGAGGTAAGGAGGCCCTTTACTGTAACACATGCCTAACTCTGGGACAGGAGCCAGGCAGCTAATTAGAGAGCTCAGCAGCTGTCCAGCCTTTCAGGCAGCAAGCAAGAGCTACCAGGTGCCAGTTGGAAAGGGGGTGGGGGGCAGGGACCAGCCTCCCAGGTGTACTAGTTGGGCAATCGGGGTTTTGCTTAGGGCATTGCAAGGGCTTGTTAAGGTGGAATGAACTAGATAGGAAGGAATTAAAGAGCACAGAAGGGTGACAGGATCAGGAGGCCTCCAGATGAAAGAGATGATGGAGGTAAGGGAAGGAACAGGCATGGAAATCCACAGTCCAAGCCTAGAGCTAGGGGGCCAAATGAAGACCAAAGCCAAGTGCTATGGGGCCCAGCTGCCATCATCACCCACTTTCTTGTGCCTCCTTTGGACTTCCCAGAGGGTAGCTAGCCATATTCAGCTTGTCCCTTTGGGCACTTGGAACACCAATTATATTTGTAGCTCTGGGTGGTTACTCCCTGGTTTGGGAAGCTGCCAAATTCCTGGTGTTTCTGGCTGGTTTTACTACACAATGAGCTAATGCAGTGTTCTGGGTCACTTGGGAAGGACAGGGGGCTTTGAGGAGCCAAACGTTTCCCTTATGGGTCTTCGGAGCTCTCTTTACATTGGGGGAGCTAAGGACTATCTATAATATGAACTATACTTGTTCTTTGGTCTAGTTCCTGTCATAGCACCCACAAACCCTGGAAATTTTCTGAGTGATAGGAGTGTCGTATGTTATTCATAGTAAGTCCCTTTGATTACACCTGGGCTTTTGCTAATGAAGTACTTAGGGTGGAAGCCCAGCTAGCCTCAGAAGGGAGCCAATCATCAAAATGCCATGCGAGGAGGCGATTAGAGGGGTGGGACTTCTAGCCCCAACTGGCAACCCCTGAGAGTATAAAAACTCTTGACCATCCATCCAGTCAACATTTGCCGAGTTCCCAGTTGCTGAGCACTCAGAGGTCCTGAGAGGTAAATGGTGTGCAAACCCACCACCTTGCCCCGTCCATCCCTTCATCTAGCTGCCCCCATCAAGGTATGTGTTTCTGGAAGTGCTATGAGAGCCTCGCAAATGAATCAGACCAAAACAGGGGTCATGGAAACAATGGTTTGTAGCCAGTTGGTCAGAAGTACAGGTGAAAACCTGCTTGTGATTGGTTCTGAGGTGGGGCAGTCTTGTGGGACTGAACTCTGGAAATGTGGGATCTGGCATTATCTCGGGGCAGAGACCATTCAAGTTCAAATAAACAGGATGAGCACTTGGCATCTGCTGAGGAACTGGTTGGGGTATGTATAGGGAATACCACGCATCTGGTCAGGGAAGTAGTCTGTGGAGAGTGAGAGGAGTTTTTTGGTTGTGGTATTTTTGTTAATGGATTTTTGTTATTGTTTATGTTTGTTGCTTCAGACAATATCTTATGTAGCCCAGGCTGGTCTGGAACTTGATAAGTAGCTGAAGCTAGCCTTGAATTCCTTCCTGATCTTCCTGCCTCCACCTCCTGAATACTGGGATTATAGGCATATGCCGCCAAACCCAGCTTGCGTTTTTGATATTTTCCTTTCCTGGGAGATTGAGAATTGTTGGGGCACAAGAGGCCTGGGAAGTCTGTGGATGGTGTTTACATAACCCCTTTCTGCCTCCCTTTTTAGGTTCCAGGCCATGGAGACAGAGTAGGTGGGAGGATTTAGGTTCCAGGCAGAGAAGCAGACTGAATGCTACAAGCCTAGCTTACCCTAAATAGTTATAGAGGAGAGAAAATGTTGCAGGGGGAATTTCCTGCCAGCAGCTGCTGCTTAAACCTCTTTGGGAAATGAATTCTTGTCATGAAAACTGGCCACCCCGTGCACATTGTAGAAATAACAAAATAGGCTTTGTTATTCTCTGACCTGAACCTGCCTGGTCCCCTGAGGGGGGGGGCAGTAGGAGGAGCCTGCAGTGTCCCTAGGGATGCCAGCTTGGGACTCTTTGTTCCTACCCTACTTCTCCCTATGTGATTTCAGACAGGTGCTCCGTATTAGAGACTCACACCCGCCACCTACTCTCTATTTGTATGGTGCTTAGAGATAGGAGAAAGGAGAGTAGCTTCCCCTTTGTTTCTCTGATCCGCAAAGACAAACTTGATCTTGTAGAGACCTTCGTTTATGGTGCTTACTGGGAAAGAACACCCTTCTATGAGGGTGCCCTAGATATTAGAGACAAACTCCAGACGTTGTTAGGCTTGGTTAATACAAAGCTAGATGACTCTGCCATCTAAGAATTCAGCTAGATCCTTCTCCATCCTGCTTATTTAGCTACCCAACAGAAATTCTGTGGTCTCCAGGAATTCACCCTGTGGTAGGGCCAACAGAGACACTTATGAAGTAGTTTTCAGATGGGATGACATGTTCTAGTGGAAATATGGTCGAAGTCCTCTAGGGGCAGAGGCAGCCTCACAAATAAGTGGGTTGGAAGGAGTAGGGTCACAAAAGCGGGCAGGAGGAGGAGACAAGTGATTCCTGTTCCTTCCAACTCCCAGAGGCAGCTCAGGCATGCTGGATGGAAACTGCTGTATGTTTGCAAAATAACTGTCCCACAGAATGAACTGAGTAGATCAAGCTGCAGGAAAGACCTGAGTAGACATAGGCCTTGAGGATGAGGTTCAGGTAGGAAGCAGTTTGAAGGCCCTGTGCTGGATGTGAGGAGCCCAAGGCCTGGGGTTTGATCAGATGTATGGATTTGACCAACTCTCTTAATGTCCTAAGCCTCAATAGTGGCCTCTGACATACACCTTCAGAATGGATGGTCACCCGTGTCCTGCCTGCTCCACAGGAGTCCTGAGAGAGCCTTAAGCATTGATAAGCTTAAGAAGCCCAAGGTCTGCCTGCCTGTTAACCGCTGTGAGGGCTGTTGATAAATTTACAAGCTCTATAGGCCTCTGGCTCAGGTTGTGCAGTCCACAAAGGCTTCTGTCCTCTGGATCCTGCTCTTGAAGGCCAGAGAGTGTCAGAGGGGACTCAGGACAGCTTGTGCACTTGTGGGAAGAGGTAGGTAGGACCCCTGCTACCTTAACATCTCAGTCACCCTAACTAGCTTCCTGAGAACTGGCAGACCAGGAAGCAAGAGGTGTCCGACACAAGACTAGCTCCCAGAAAGACCTGCTCTGACCACTGTGGTGTCATCTACCAGAACAGTACCTCAACCAGCAGCAACCCTTCAGGGCTGACCGCAGCAGCGCCAGGCTTTGCTAGCAGGATGTGGCTTTTTGTTTCTGTTTCTGTTTTGACTTGTGCTGTTGCTGTGGCCTGCCTAGGCCCCAGGGAAGAGGAAGTGACCATGGGTGGGATTGAACTCTGCAGGCCACGTGTCATGACTATCCTGATTGTAGAGACTATAAGACATACCTCATTAAGGCTCTTTCATCAAGGTGATAGGTAGGTGCTGTGGTCACCTTTGTACCCCCACCAGGCAGGCTAGGAGATGGAGGAGGATGAGCAGGTGTGGAAGTGCTGTGGTTCCTGTTTGTGGAGGAGCTGGGAGGGACTGGCAAGGCTGAGCACAGCAGCCCACACAGGCACAGCAGGTGCCTTCACTTTTCTCTGTGCAGAGGCCTGGGGTGGGGGGTTGGGGAGAAGAGCAGACACAGGGTAAGAGCAGGGGCACCCCCAAAGCACCCTTGTCAGGGTGCATGCATTTCAGACTGCCTACCCTCACCCTTTCACTTCTCAGTTCCTTGCTGCTTCACAACTTGTCAGTTTAGGGGACAAAGGGAGAGGATTTGCTTCTGTTCAAAGCTTCCCAGCTTGCGTTTTTGATATTTTCCTTTCCTGGGAGATTGAGAATTGTTGGGCAAAGTCCTGTCTTGGATTCTGTGTGGATGGCAGTTTGTCAAGGGGGTTTCCAAGGGAGCTCTGGCACCTGAACATTAGAACAGAAACATTCTAGAACCACCATCAAAGGGTCAAATCTTGCTAGACTTGACGGTCAGGCCTGTAATACCAGCCACTTGGGAAGAAGAGGCAGGAAGATTGTACATTCAAGGTCAGCCTGGATAACTTAGCAAGGTTCTGTCTCAAAATATAAAGTTTTTAAAGTGGCTGGGAATATAGTTCAGTGGTTAAGCCCTTGTCTAGCATGTGCAAGGTCCTAGGTCCAATCCTTAGTACTACAAAAATAAAAGAGATATTGAAAGCGTGTATGTGTCAAAGGGCCTTATGAAGTAAGATTTCTATCAGCTTGTAGCTAGTCTATCAGTCTAAAAGGAAGGGCCTTACCAATAATGGTAAATAATACAACAAAGTAAGTATAAATATAGTGAATTGCAGGTTACTTAATATGTAACCCTGGCTGATTTTGCATTTGGGAAATTTCTCTGTCTTTGGGTTTTTGAGTGCTGGGATTATGGGTGTATACCACCAGGCTCAACTCGGGGAATTTAGCACACCTTCTTCTTCCCATATTTACTTGTGTGGTTGTACTTGACTCCTTCAATGCTAAAAAAAATATCTTACATTAACTGCCTTCCATGAAGCTCTGACTACCCTTGCAGACAGACATCCCAGGTGGAGCTGGATTATAAATTATATCTCCTCTTAGGTTTACAAGTGTGTATACATTCACTCACTCATCATACAAAAAGGCCCCCAATTCTAACCCCTCATGATGATTGCTGGGAACAATCCCAGTCCCTCATGTCTGGATCGACCCACCATGAGCAGAGAAGATAGCTGAGATAAGATGGTAGGTTCCAGGAAAAGAGCCTTGGTAGCCTGTTGCTGAGCAATTACCTTGGTTCTGCCTTTGGGCTGGCCTGGTAGTCAGACCTAGGAGTAGATTAAGCTAACGAAGGCCTCCTCTTTTATTCCTAGAGACACATGGAAGCTGGGAAGGATCAACTGAGCCCTGGAGCTGATGCACGCTCACATTGCTAAGAATGGCACCAAGGTCCAGTCTGGCACCAAGACAAAGGTTAAGCCAGGACACACCTGCACAGTGATGCTGATGTCTGTTCTTAGCCTCAAGGTCAAGGCTGTGATAAGTGAGTATGTTTCAGGCATGTCGGCATCACTGGCCCTGTTTGCCTTCCCACTCGGCACCTCATCAGCATGGATACAGATCTACAGATTGAAGTTTTCATCCTGCTTCCTATTCAAGGGCCTGTCACGGGGCTAAAGTTCTGAAATGGGAGGGGAGTGTTGAGCAGTTTCAGGTCATGTCACTGTTGGAGCCATCTTAATGGCATCTAAAAACTGGGCCAGGCCCAGACTGGCTGACATGAATAAAGCCAGACACCTAGAAGAGGTGTCTTCCCACGTTCTTTCTCATCAATAGGCTCTTGGATACTTTGGGCATTGGACTTTACATCAGAGCAGTGGAAGCTGTGTCTTACCTAGAATCTGAATTCTGCCCACAATTCATGTGTTGGCCCTGAAGGAGTTTGGTAGAGCATCCAGGGCCTTTGCCATATAAGTGACAGGAGGTTAGCAAGGCAAGTCCTCTTGCTTTCAACAGCATCTCCTACATCCAGATAAACCTCACTTAAGATGAAAGGCCTTGACTGCAGAGTCATGCCTTTCCTTACCTGGCCTTTGAGTCTAGCCCCTGCCTTTGGCTTTTCCTTGTTGATACTTAAAAAGAATGACAATTAACTGTGGCCTGATGGCTGTTATGTCTGTGAAGGGTAGACAGTGCAATGATGGGATCAGGGACCGGTAGGAAGGGAGCTCCCCATAAGGCAGGGTAGGCAGAATTAGTCATCTCGACTGGGCAGCTTTTAAGAGCTCTTGGGCTGGTCCCTGGGAACACAGAGTAAATTCCATAAAAGTGTGCAGGGAATGGGAAAAGGGTAACTGGGTTATTTCTCAGCTGTAGGTAGATCTTGACTCTTCTAGTTGAGTGGTCATAGCTTAGGGCCTGAATGTTTACCACTCAGTTTCGACTTGGAGTCAGATTGTGACTAACAGACTTTTTAGGGAGGTATTCTTGAGTTGATTTGTAGCCAGAATGGGGTGAGTGAACCTAGACTTGAGGGAGATTGGAGTAGGAAGATGACCATAGAGTTCACTGTGGGACTACAGTGACCCAAATGTGATACCTCATGGCACAAGTCCCCACAGTAATCTACACTAGTAGCCTGAAGACTATCACACTTTTGACCCAATGATTCTGCTTCTGGAATTATTCATGAATAAATTTATCATGCTAAGCATGAAAGCATATGCCTGGAACCCTGCTCTTGGAGGGCAGAGAGAGGAGGATAGGATAGCAAGCTAGAAGTCAGCTTGGGGGCATAGCAAGACCCTATCTTAAAGACCCAGATGTGGTGGTGCATGCCTGTAATTGAGAGGCAGAGGCAGAAAGATCAAGAGTTTAAGACCAGTTTTGGATCCATAGCAAGTATGAGGCCATCCTCAGATACATGAAAGACTCTGTCTAAAAAAAAGGAAGGAGGAAGGAAAAGAAAAGATCTTTAGATCTTTCATTAGTTCATTGGGAAGTATCCTCAAAGAAGAAAATGGAACATGGCTGAATTTCTTTTGTTATAAGCATAAAAGATACTTCTGTGGTATCATCTGTAATAGGGGAAATGGGAAACAATTATTCCCTTCATTGAATATCTTAGTTAAATAAATTGTAGTTTTCTATTTGGTGAGATATTACATAGCCATTTTAGTAATAATGGGCACATAGGCTACATAACAGCTTGAAAAAAGCAGATATGACCTAAGTGAAAACAGTAGGTAATAGAATTAGTATATTACAGTACACTTCTAAGATCCACACACAAGGGAAGATTGCAAGGGGGAGCAGCTACTCTGTGGCTTTGGTTTCATTATGAATGCCACTCCTCTGTGTGCTGCCAGGTTGGCTTTTACAACAGTTTAATCTGGGTGACTGCAGAAGGCACCATTAATAGTGACTTTTAAAAGAGGGATTAGGGGAGGCTTTTACTTGGTAAATCATTCCTTTCTGTAACTTTTTTAAAAAGTTTAGCTGTGAACACGTTATTTTCATGTTTGAAAAAACAATAGTTATTTTTAAATGTTAGAATTAAAAAATTTAAAAGGCCATATTTCCCCAAGGAGTTGAGAGAAGTCTGAGGCAGTTAGCTGTTTATGCCTGTCATCAATATTTAAGGACTTGGGCCTATTTGGACCTATCCATCCACTCACCCATTCATCCATACATCCATCTATCAACTCACCCATCCACCCATTCACCCATCCATCCCCTTACCCACTTAGTCAGCCATTGATCCACTCATCTATCCATCTACTCACCCATCCACTCATCCATATCCATCCATCTCCCCCCCACACTAACCCACTTATATATCCTTCCCTCCATCCATCTACCCATCTATCTGTCCTCTATCCCAGATATTAATAGGCGTTTTGCCAGTAGCAGTGAGGAAAACTAAGCCTCATCCTTTGTGAAGCTTTCGTTGTAACTGGAGAGAGAAAGACCATGAACAGTAGCAAAATATTAGAAGGTACTATGGGAAAAGATAAGATGGGATGGTGTAACAGAAAGTCCTCTTTGGATTGGGGGACCAAGGAAGGTCTAAGGGGTGACAGATGAGCTGAGACCTGACTGACAATAAGGAGGCAGCTACATGGAGCTTTGAGAAGAGCATTCTAGTCAACTCACAGGATACCCACTCAGCCCATGGCTCCCACCTGTAGGTACCCATTGCTTCTCAAACTCAGTGTATCTCTGGGCCAGGACATACTCCATTCCTCAGGCCCCCTCACACCCCAACATCCCTACCTCCATCCCTCCCAGCAGGGGTGTGCTTAGTGTCAAAGTCCTTCTAAAGTTTTGTATGAAATGGTTATTTCTGATACCCTGGTTGTTGGCTCTGGACAGATGGCTCCTCTGGGCAACCTGTACACAGGCTACTGCTCTTGGCTGGCATTTCCAGAGGAGGGCTGGGCTGTCTCAGATTTCCATACCAGGGTGGATTGGCAGTAAGGAAGGTGATGGGTAATGCGTGCCCTGGCAAAGGGTCTTTGAATGGCTCATGATGTGAGGCCTGAAGAGTCACTGCTGCCATAGTCCTGTGAGGGTCAGCTTTGACCTTGGAGGACTTACGTGTGGCTCCTGCCAGAATTTGACATGAGGAATAGGCTTGGAGCCTGTGTTATCTCTAATACCCAGTTCTAAGCTTAGTTGATAGTCTAATGAGAAATAGATATTCATCTCCCTGAATCCTAGATGCCATCCTAGCATCTTACAGACAAAAACCTTAGAAAATGGTAGCACCTCAGAGGAACCTGGATCCAGACATATGGGGATTTATTTCCCAGCCCAGCCATTTAGATCTGTAAGAACATGGGTTAATTAGCCTCTTTCTGCCTCATGTTCTCCCTCTGTAAAATGGGATTCAGAATTATCTGAGTTGATACATGGAAAGTGCCAAAAAGAATACCTGGTTATTTATTGTCACTTGAGAGGTGAGGGGAGGACCCATCAAGGCCTGCAGTGTAGCTGATTCCCAGGGACTGTCCTAGGGGCTTGTCAACTGCAAGAAGGGTGGAACTTGGTGGCATCTGAGCTAGCCAATAGCCGTGGGTATTAACCTCCTCTTGCGTCCCCTCTGACCATGAAGCAGGTCTGTTTTCCTCTCTCTACCTTGACAACCATAGGGAAGATTGGAGCCATTTCAGACCTGGCAGCACCCCAGATACAGAGCAGCTGCCCTCTCATTGACTCCCCTGACCCCTAGCACCAAGCCTACTAGGGATAGGACTCTAGGGTCGCTACTGCCTTGCCTCAGAGACCTCCTAGAAGGGCTCTGTGGGTTCCCAAGCATCAAATAATGGTGGTTTGGGTGCTTGGGGTGAGTAATAAAACTTGGGAAGTAAATGGTGTGCCCAGCCTGGCATCTCAATTTTCAAGTAAGATGCTTCTCTGGACAAAAATTCCCAGAGTCATTGTATTGTGGCATCTTAGCTTCCGAGAATAAGATGAGAGTTTTTGGCAAAACCAAACGTGAGCCATTCCATCTGGCTTGGCCTTTCTTAGTCTCTTAAGGCTGATTTCAACTGTTTCCACTGCCCACTCGGCTGAGGCCACCCTGGGACAGAGCTCAGAGGATTTTGAGAGCCTCAGGTGAGATACTAGGCATCCTAGAGACAAGATGCCAGAAGCCAGCTCTCCCCTACCCACCACCTGCTCCTTTATGCTGAAAGTTATTTGAGTTTTGATCCTTCTCAGGAACACTGTGCCCCTTCAATAAGCATGAGAGCTCTTGGAATTGAGTGTAACTTCTCCCTGCTTGTGAAACCATCCACACCTTCCAAGTGCTTTCAAGCTTCCAATCCTGTCCACACTCTTCTGTATGTCACCCTGAATTTCCTAGCTTGGGCTGTACCATCTTTACATCATGGTCCTTAAGACAATTATGTTTGTCACTAGGAGAAAGAGGCCAACGTCCACGGAGCTGCTGGTTCCTCCTGCTGCAGACTTTCCCAGAGCTCTGATTCCAGGGCTGAGCAAGGAGGTACTGGAGGGGGCCTAAGGGTAAAGGAGGTCACGTTTGGGGAGGGCAGAAAAAGAGGGGGAGCCTATTGGGCCCAGCAGAGAGTAGATAAGCCTGTCCTAGATAAAAGTTCAGGCATAGAACCTGTGATTATTAGAAATGGGATTTGAGGGTGGTATTTTGAAATGTCCCCAAATCAGTATCTCACCTCTCATGGGAGCATCTCCCACCACACTAAGCCACATCCCAGCCAAGAACACTGTGTCATATTCCTTTGTCTTCACCTATATCTTCTGCCCCCAGCCAGGTCTTTCAGTTGCCCACATTCGTCGTGCGTGGACCAGCTGTGTTCTCCTGTCACGACCCCTTGGACAAGGTCTGACCTTGCCTAGGTATGCTTCTCTATCTGCTCAAATACCTCCTGCTGATCAGAAATGGAATTGGGCCTAGAACTCCCCTGTCCCCTCTTCCATCTTCCCCTTTGTTCTGAGCTGGATGCCTTTTGCCATAAGTTCTTTTTTCCCTTGGACTCCCTCCCTCCCTCCCTTTCCTCCCTCCCTCTCTCCCTTCATTTCCTCCCTCCCTCCCTCCCTCCTACACTCCTTTCTACCCTTCAACTCTTTCTCTCATCTTTCTCGTTCTTTGTCCTTTGTGGTTCCAAATCCTGGGTTTATGATGTGCCTATACAGAGTGGTACAGTATTGTTCAAAACTTTAAAGCTTCACTCTTCCTTCCTTTTGGTCTTTTTGAGATAGGGTCTCCCTGTAGCCCCAGCTGACCTGGCACTCGACATGTAGACCAGGCCTCGATCTCAGAGATCCACCTGCCTCTGCCTCCTGAGTGCTTGGATTAAAGGTGTGCGCCACCATGCCCAGCTCCTTGGACTCCTTTCATCTTGCTTCTGCAATACGGTTTTAAGGTCTAGCTCTTCCAGGTCCCCTGGGAAAGCAGGAACCTGTAGTTACTAGCTAAGAAATCATTATTGGCTATCCCAGGAAGATGAGATCAGAGACCAGGAGGGCAGGGTTTAAAGGCAGTATCAAGGTGGGGAGTAGGCTGGGGAAGGAGCTCAGTAGTAGAAAACTTTCCTAATGTGTACAAGGTCCTGGTTTTGATCCCCAGCACCACAAAAAGATGGAGAAAGAAAGGTAGAGGCTGGCCCCAGTGAGAAGATCCATGCAGTGACACCAGGCTGCTGCAGAAGAGCACCTGAATGACCCCATTCCTGGGTCCCCTGCCTAGAGAGGAGTCAGGGTCTTGTGTGCAAGCAAAATGGACAGACCTAAGTTTAAAGGAATTTGACTCAGGTCAGAAGGCCCACCTCTGTGGCTAGACCACCTGCCTTAGGGCTGCCAGCCCCTCCTGCGTTTCCCTGCTGCCCAAGTCTTTTCTCTCTTGGCCTGCAGAGGAGGGTTCAAGATAAAGTAAGGGTTTATAAGGCTGTGCTGGCAATGTTTTTATTTTATTCTATTTTTTCAAGCCTGACCCTCAGGGCTGGCCCTGACCCTTAATTCAGCTATGGGTAGCCATAAGAAAGCAGGAACTTCATATTGACTCTCTAGACTATGTGTGGGGTTATTGTTTCACAGGGTTTCCCGGGTTCCTGGCTTCATGTCTGATAGGCCTGCTTAGCAGGGAAGGCTGCCAAGAGGGTGGCTAGAGTAGAGGCACAGTGACCCTGCCTGAAGTGGGAGAAGGTCCTAGAAGCAGCAAGAGCTATGTTAGAAAGGGCAGGACCTTCTCAGGAACATTTGCAGTATAAAGTAGCATATCTTATTAGCTAATTCATCCTCATAGTACCTGTGGGCGGTCACTCTTACTCTCATTTTACCTAAAAGGAAATTGAGGCTTTGCACAGTGAGTTAACCGGTCCAAGATCTCACAGGTGGAGAGTATCAGGCAGGACTCTAGCCCAGGCAGTTAGGATCTAGGGCTCCTGATCCCAACCATTACACCACACTCACACCTAAGTCATGGCTTGCTGTCAGGCTGACACAGGAGGGAAGAACCTGCACCAGTTTTGCAGAACTTCAGGTTCCCTTAGCTCCATTTGTTTGGCATGTTGGCAAGTTTAGAGTATACAGGAAAATGTAATGAAGAATCATATATAACATCAGCCAGAGATGATTGTGACTAAATGTTCTATACATGTATGTAGATATGTACATTTGCAAAATCAAATGTTAAGCACACAGTTTCAAGTCCTTCCATTTTTCTCTTCACATTGTATGAACTATTTCTCAAATGGCTGTTGGTGCTGATCTTCAGATGAATCATAACAAAGGGGGTTGATGAGCAAGGTGAGAAATGGTAGCAGATAGGACAGTGGACAGCTCTGGGATCTTACAGGATTGTGGGTTCATGGACTATGGTGGATGGGGTGGGGGTGGATGGGATCAGGGTATGCAAAGGTGGCAAACAGGAAGGACATCCCAGAGAGCCAAAAGACAGCCATGTTGGGATCCAAAGCACAGAGTTGGCTGGGATTCAGAGGCAGAGCTGGGTCCAAGAGGACTTTTCCAGCTATCCCTAAGAGATGTACATGTTGAAGATCCACTAATGGCCTTTAAGTGGGAGAAACATCAGATTGGCATCTTAGAAAGAACATCCTTTCTATATACTTTTGTTGTGGATTTGAACTGGAAGCAGGCAGGGCAAAGCTGGGAACTTTTCAGAGCCGCCTGGTGACACATTATTAGGGTTTGGACCAGAGCAGCAGCAATGAGCAGAAAAATGAGGAGACAGAGTCCAAAGGGATTTAAAGAGGTGGAAAGCTCAGACGTTAGTAGCTTTGCCATGTGATTTGCCTTGACCAATGAGATGTTCACAGACCTGCCTTAAGCAGAGTCTTTTTAAAAACTTGGGATGTCTGGTTTTTTTGGTCTTTTTGAGACAGGGTCTCCCTGTAGCCCCAGCTGTCCTGGAGCTCACTATGTAGACCAGGCTGGCCTTGAACTCACAGAGATCCACCTGCCTCTGCCTCCCGAATGCTGGGATTAAAGGCATGCGCCACCACGCCCAGCGAGATGTCTTTTTATTATTGAAAAACTAGTTTTAATATTTAAAAGGTCTTTAATGGGGCTGGAGATGTAGCTGAGTTGGTAGAGTGCTTGTCCAGCATGTACAAAGCTATGGATTTGATTCCCAACATTGCATTAATGTGTACTGGGCTGTGATCCCAGCACTTGGTAAATAGAGGCAGGAGGATCGGACATTCAAGGTTATCCTTGGCTACATGGTAAGTTTAAGAGCCAGTCTGGGATATACGAGACCCTACCTCTCACATACATAGAACTTTAAAAGGCATATAGTAATTGTGTGTATTTATAGGGTCCAATGTGACATTTCGATGCATGTATACACTATGTAACAATGTATAATCAGATCAAGATAACTGACACAATTATTACCTCAAACATGTATCTTTTTTTTTTAGAATATCCAAAATCCTCCCTATAGCTGTTTTGAGATTAGTTGACTGCAACTAATTGTACAACTATGTGTACTATAGGACATTAAACATTATTCCTTCTGTTCCACCGTATCCCTATACCATTAATGATGCTCTCCTTTCCTCCTTTCTGCCTCTTGACCAGAGTCTTGAAAATCACTTGTGCAATTGTGCTGTCTTGCTCTCAGGCTGATGCCTTACCATGAGATAAGTACTAGTCTACTGGGCCTGGGAGGAAGATGGGGACTGATGGAGCAGAGGTACCCTGGTTAAACCTCCCAGCCAAGCACTAAACAGTCTCAGATGACTCATAGCCTTGTGAACTAGGCCAGCTGACCCACAGATGCATCAGCTGCAATAGGAAATGATAGATGACTTAGGATACAGGGTTTGGGGCATGGTGTACTTGCTAACTGACTGAGAAACATCATTATCCCTGTGCCAAATGCATTCTGTGTACACACTAGGATGGAGCAGTGAACCAAACACAGGTCCTGATACTCAGGAACTCAGGATAGAGTCACACAGGGCCTTCTAACTAGCTCTTTGGTGGTGCCATTAATCAGGAGGGAATCAGGTTTTGGGGAAAAGGTAATGAGTTTGATTTAGGAAAGGAGCTTGAGATGCACTTGGGACATTTAGGAGAAGCTGTCCAGCATATACAATTGTATTACTGAAAAAAGAGGTCTTAACTGTGATGGCTAAGTGTATAAGGGATTGGATCCAAAGAAAGAGGTCTGGCTTGGGACTGAAATTATCAATGGGAATTAACAAAATAATCTGTATCAGAGTGGTGGGAAGCTGTGGAAATTCAGAGGAGGAAGAAAATTTGTGACTGGGGAGTGAAGAGATCACCTGGACACTGGGGTTGTGCTTGTAGAGATGAGAGAAAGTATACCAAACAGAATGAAAAGATCCGTAAAGGTGTGTAAGCCAGGTAGGGAGACCTGGATGTTGAGAATAAGGCTGATGTAGACTGGAGTGAGATCATGAAGAACCTTGAATGGTAGACTGAGGATGTTACCGTGTTTTGTTAGGAAAAGGGGAGGCGTTGAATGTCTGAGCAAGGAAGTGACAAGGTAGACAGTCATATGTAGCAGGATGAATTCTGAAGTGGAAACCTAGAGAGACTGGTTATATTTTAGTATTCTAACCTTCTCCATTTACAAGCCCTGGGATGTGGTTGCCCCAACTGTCTCATATATAAGATAGGAATAAAGCTACTTGTCCTTCATATAAATCTTTTTCTCCCTCCCTCCCTCCTTCCCTCCCTCCTTCCTTCCCTGGTTCCCTTCTTCATGCTAGGCAAGTACTCTACCAACTAAGCTATGTCCCCAACACCACCACCACACTTTTTGGTGTTTTGAGACAGTCTGCCAGACTGGTCTGGAACTTGCAATCCTCCTGTCTCGGCCTTCCAAGTGCTGGGATTACAGGCTTGTGCCACATACTTGGCTTCATATGAATCTTAATAAGAACTAGTAAAAAAAAAAAACTATGATTAAGTACAGGGGTGAGTATTTTGAAGCAAGGCCTGTATAGCTAAAATACAGTGCCAGGATTCTCAGACAGGTGGGCAAACTGCAGCTATCACCTTGATAACCTGTCACTTGTCTTACCTGGAAGAGGAGACTGACAGATGTCAAGCCAGATGTCCACTGGCACCTGACAAAACTTCTCATTCTTGATGCAACCATGAATTCTCCCCACCAGCCTCTGCATAAACAGGATGTGTCTTTAGACCCTTGCTTAGGAGAGGCCTGGGGCAAGAGCTGCAAAACAGGACTTTAAAAGTAGTCACTCTCTCACAGAGTTCACAAGCTAGTCGAGATACAAGGGTGCATGCACTGAGAAATAGAGTGGTCTCTGATCACTGGCCTCACGAGTGATTTAGACCCTCTCTGACGGGGAATAAAGCATGCCGGAGGCCTAACATCCAGATCAGGTTCAGGGAAGCAGAATGCGATGGGAGCCAGGCTCGGAGGACTGGCAGTGGGGTTTGAGAGAGGAGGAGGAGGGGCAGAGGGGACCACTATCAGCCCACTGATTTATCATTAACATTGAAACAATTAAAAAACTCCATGTACTATAGCAGTTAAAAACAAAATGTGACTGCAATAAGACTGTGTTTTATGTATCTCATTAGGATGGCCATTATCGAGAAAATGAAAAATAAATGTTGACAAGGACATGAAGAAATGAAGTCCTGTGTGTTCTTGGTGGTGGTAGTGTTTTGTTTTGTTGGCTTTGTTTTGTTTGTTTGTTTGTTTGCTGTTGGAGATATAAAATGTGGAAAATAGTATGGCGATTCTTCAGAAAGGCATCTACAAAATTACCATATAACTTAATGATTCCACTTGTGGGTATAAACCCAAAGACCTGGGAGTATGGTCTTAGGATACTCATATACCATGTGTATAAAGGCACTATTAACAATAGTCAAAAGTGGAAGCCACTGAGGTATCTATGAGTGGAGAAACAAAGTGTTCCATCCAATGGAATCTATTGAGTCTTAACAGAAGAGGATTCATTCAGATCCATGCTACAACCTGGATGAACCTTGAGAACATTGCACTAAGTCAAATAAGCCAGCCACAAAAGAAAAATTAAGAGTCTAAATTTACAGAGACTGAAAGAATCGAGCTGGGGGAAGGAGAAAAGGGGGGCTGGTGTTTAATGAGTATAGTTTTCTCTTTTTTTTTTTTTCTTTTTTGACGGTCTCATGTAGCACAGGCTGGCCTTTGAACTTGCTATATAGCCAAGGATGTCTTGATCCTTCTGCTTCTACCTCCTGGGATGACAAGTGATCCAGTTTTATGTGGTGCTGAGGCTAGAACCCAGGACTTGGTGTATGCTAGGCATGCTCTGCCCACAGAGCTACACTGCTAGCCTATATTTTCTATTTGAGATGATAAAAATGTTGTGGAAACAGATGGTAGCAATGGTTGTACAACATTGTGAATGTTCTAAATGCAATTGAATTGTACATTTAAAAACTATCAAAATGGTGTTATGTATATATTAGAAGTTCTTTGATCTCAGAAATATGGGTGACCTTGAACTATTGGGGAAGAAGTCGGGGAGGATGAGGTCCCCAGTAGATGGGCCTGGTGAGAAATGAACTAAAAGGCTAAAAATGGGAGAGAGCCTAGAAATAGACACTTGTGGGCCAGGACAGTAAACTCCAACTCACCACAAATAAGCCAAAAAGTTAGAGTACGGTAGACAGATGCAAGTAGTAGCTGTGTAGTTGCTCAGAGGAAACCAGTGGGTGGGGTTGCTGTCTTCCTGTCATGTCCCAGGCCTACCTGGCTAAGAAGGAATAGGGAATTGAGATCATAGAACCTGTGGTATAAGCTCAAGAATATGGTTGGTAACCAATGAGGAAGGAGACGGGTAGAAGCAGATTTGAAATCCCCTCCAGCCTGGTCACCTCCAGAGATGTGGGCTGGGCAGGGGAAGATTCAGGGTGGCTCCCTCTCATCTGTCTCCCTGTGTCTCCAGCAGCAAGCCCCAGTTGGCACCATGGCTTCTGCAGAGCCCCTGACGGCACTGTCCCGCTGGTACCTGTACGCCATCCATGGCTACTTCTGTGAGGTGATGTTCACCGCGGCCTGGGAATTCGTGGTGAATTTTAACTGGAAGTTTCCGGGTGTCACGAGCGTGTGGGCCCTTTTCATCTATGGCACCTCCATCCTGATAGTAGAGCGCATGTACCTGCGCCTGCGGGGCCGCTGCCCTCTGCTAGTGCGCTGCCTCATCTACACGCTCTGGACCTACCTGTGGGAGTTCACTACCGGCTTCATTCTGCGTCAATTCAACGCCTGTCCCTGGGATTACTCCCAGTTCGACTTTGACTTCATGGGCCTCATCACCCTGGAGTACGCAGTGCCCTGGTTCTGTGGGGCCCTCATCATGGAGCAGTTCATCATCCGCAACACCCTCCGCCTGCGCTTCGACAAGGATGCGGAGCCGGGAGAGCCTGGCAGCCCCCCAGCCCTGGCCAATGGCCACGTCAAGACTGACTGAGTTGGAAGATGGATGTGGGGGCCTGAGGTTTCTCATTGGAACCTATGGATAGAGAGACCAAGCTGGTGGGGTTACCCCTTCCGTTCAGCACAAGCCCTGCTCCACAACTGGGCCTTAGCCCAGTAGGGCAAACACAGCCACATATGGTCTGAAGTGGGATGGTGTTTAGGGGGCTGGGTGTCCAGCCAACAGAAGGATATTGGGAAACGTCCATGGATCCTCAGCCCAGCCTGGGGGCCGGTGGCTGAAGGCTTGTGGCTGGGCAATGAACAATTGGACTTCATGGATGATGTTGGAAGCAGTAGGCCTGTCTTGGCCAAGGGATGTGAATTCTGGGGCCACAAGAGGGAGGCAAGGACTGAGGAGGCTTTGGCTGCTGTTGGGGCCACCTCCCCACCTGCTCCCTGGCTTTCGCTGGGCTTTGGCTGGTTCCATTAGGCAATATTCAGGTGCTTGCTTGCAACCAATACCTCCCTGAAGGGGCCTCTGAGCTGCAGCCTAAGAGAGACCCAGCAGCCCATAGGCTGTTTGGTGGCGCTGCTGTTGTGCAAAGGCTGGGAAAACTTTCTCTGGCTCCTCTTCCCTCCCCCAGGGCCCCATGCTGCTCCCTTGGCCTTCTGGGGGGTCTGTGGTGCTGGATTCCCACCAACCTTGGGCTTTTGGAGGTTTCAATCCCCGTGTGTTCGGTGGTGTTTCCCCTTTTCTCTTATGTTCAAGACCTTTACCACTAGCAGACAGCCCTTTTCTCTATGTCGGTCACCACACCCTCCCAGCTCCTAGCTCCCTAGACAGCACAGCAGCCAGTGGCCAGAGCCACAGCCCTGCAATGGACCCCACCTGCCTTCCTGTAGCCTTCCTTCCACCTCTCACCTGGTGACTGGAGGGCCTGTCTCCCCAGCCCAGGTTTGGCATTTGGGTGGTCTGATATCCCTCTCTGCAGGGGCCCTGTGAAAATGAGTAGTGTCCCTCACCCCAGTGCACACATCTAGGCCCAGGGGTGTGCTGTGGGTCCATAGTGGGATGGGTGGAGGAAGGCAGAGTTCTAGGTCCTATCTGCCTGTACTGTTTATTTCCAAGCCAGTTAGGCAGTCTGGTTTTCTATGGGATACAGGAGCAGGTATCTGGCCTTGGAGACCCAAAGAGAATGAGATAGATGCAGAGGACCATGGAAGGCTCTTTGGAGCTCCTTTCTTGGAAAGGGATTAAGTTCTGGTTCTACTGGTGGCCCCAGCTCTTAGGCTAAACTTCATGGCCACTCCTCCTCTGACCTCTTCCAGTAAGGCTGAGTCTTTGAGCTTGTTCCTCAAACAGTATTGACCCTGCCACACTCAAGGACATTGTCAGGTTCATTGTCTCAACTCTTCCCCCATGACGGGTCCATTGCTGGCAGTGGACAGTTGAAATCCTTATTCTAGGCCCCTTCTCAAATTTGTTCCCCACTCTTTGAGAGGATGGGTTCACCCAAGAGCAGACCATCCCATGACCCATGGTCTCCTATTGGTCACTCTAGGATACTGAGGTAGAAATTAGCCTTTCCTTTCTTACAGATCATTTAAAAGTGACAGTGCCACCTGAAGAGCCAGTCTCTAGAACATGCAGACCAGGGCAGGTAGCATGACTGTCCTGGACTAGGAGAAACTTGGAGGCTCAATCTTTGATGGCATTTTCTCCTATGGTTTTCTCTGTCCAGGGCAGCATGAAAGGTATTTCCCAGCCTGTTTTGCAGAGTCTTTGGGTTTGGTTGTAGCTCCAATTCCAGGGCTTTGGGAATTACAGGGATTCAGGTGGGAGTGTGTTGCTTTTCATCTACAGGTAGAGAGGATTCTGTGTTTCCTTGGCCTTTCTCCAATTCCATGTTATCTCAATCACCTGAACCCTAATGCCTTGCCAAGCTACCCACCTCAGACCTACCTGCACAACTGAATCCAGTGGCCAGCTTGCTGAGGTCTCCCAGCATTGAGACCTCCAGTTCTCAACCAGAGAAAGCCACTGGGTAGCCCCCAGATCTTACCACTCCAGATGTCTTGTAGGCATTCCCTAGCACCATTTTCTCTTGAGGCCCTATTAATTCCACGTGCAGGAGAGGTTCCTGGAGTGACTGCATGCCTGGCAACATTCAGCATTATAGGTCCCCTGTTGCTTCTATGGCCCCTTGTAGGGCACAGAACACCCAGCCAGGGGAGGCTGCAACTTACAGCCCGACCACAGGACCTGCAGGCTCAGATCTTACCAAGTATAGCCTAGACTTCAAATCTTGCTTTACTGCGTATTTTCAGGGCTCCATTCCCTTATGTCCAGGGCACAAAAGTTGGGGTAATAGAAGCCCAACCAAGCAGTGGAGAGCCTCTGGTGTCCTGAGCTCAAGGCAGACATCTCTGACTTAAAGATAGTAAGTGTGCTGCCCTGCATGGTTGAGTTGCTTTGGATGGCTGCTAGGCTCCCTGTGCCCTGTCCCTTCTTGATGCCAGTGAGTCACAATGGCCTGTGCTTATTCACAGCAATAATACATAGGGAGCGTCCATGAGTCCCTTTTGTCCTGGTCCCTCTTTGTGGGTCTCCCAGGAAGCTGCTAAGTGGTTTGGTTCATGTGAAAACCTGTTTATAAAGCTCTGGGCTGTGCAGACACTGTCACTGCAGGCAGGGCAAGACAGATAAGGCAGGGGGAGTGCCTTCCATCCTGAGGTCACCCATATCTGGAGGAACCGCAGGCCCTGGCTTTGTAAAATGGTGAAGTGTGTAGGGCTGTTTTCCAACTGGACAGATCTTGAGAAAGGCACATGACTGGTTTGTGCACCCATCGCCTGCTGTGTCTATTAGTATGTCTCTTCCTTTTCATACCTGTGCACATAAAATATACTGGTGTTTGTGTTCCTGGACTGGCTGTGACCCCTTTCTTCTGTGGAGCTACTGGATGTTGGGCCCTTCATGCCCTGCATTACCTGTATCACACCTTCCTAACCAGGAGGGCTGCTGGAGGGGGAGGTATGGCACTCCCCATCAGCCTTTTCTTTCAGCTCTGACCCTCTCTAGTAATCTGAATCTACCCCACTGCCCCTGTAGTGGATTTTGGTCTAGGCTTTTCGTTCCAGGCCAAAGGAAGAAGAGTCCCAGCAGTATTCAGGTTGCATACACCTGTCCATGAGCTGAGCCGCTCTTAAATACACTGGCTATGACCTGGGATGTCTCATGGTTGGGGAAGGCATGAGGGTATTCCAAAGAGCCAGATCCCCTTTGCAGTACCTGAAAGCCATTCTTTGAAGAAACAGCTCTTCACTCCTCCCTGGCAGCTCTGCTTTCACTGAGAAGGGCCTTTGAAGGAAGGAAGTTCTTTTCTCCATTGTGTGCCTGGGCTCTGTCTAGCTCCTCTGTCCCATCCTTACCATCCACCAGGTCCTGCATACTTTCCTACTTCCAGAAAGAGGATGGAGGGTTTAGAAGTTGCTCAATCTGTTCATCTAAATCCAAATGGCCTGGACCCTGTTCCATAGCCAGGCTATAGAGCATGGAAATGTATTTTTTAAGTCATTGGGAGGGCTTGCTCTCTCTCATACACACTTGAAATTATTCATTTTTTTAAAAAAATTTATTTTAGGCCAGGTGTGGTGGTGCATGCCTTTAGTCCCAGCACTCGGGAGACAGGTACGTGGATCTCTGTGAGTTCAAGACCAGCCTTGTCTACATGGTGAGTTCTAGGCCATCTGGGGCTACAGGGAGACCCTGTCTCAAAAAGACAAAAAAAATTAATTTTATGTGTATGAGTCTTTTGCCTACATGCAAGTGTACCACATAGTGACTGTGGAGGCCAGAAGAGGGCATCAGACTTCCTGGAACTGAAGTTGTGGATAGTTGTTAGCCACCATATGAGTCCTCTGCAAGAGCAGTGCTCTTAATTGCTGAGCCATCTCTCCAGCCCCCAACTATTCATTTCTTTTTTTTTTTTAATTATCTTATTATATGTGTATGTGTGTATTGCCTGCGTGTAGGTAACTGCACCTGTGTCGTGCAATGCCTGTGGAGGACAGAAGAGGCTGTCGGATCCCCTGGGACTGGAGTTACAGACAGTTGTTAGCTGCCATGTGGGTGCTGGGATTCAAACCCGGGTCTTCTGCAAGAACAACCAGTGTTCTTAACTGCTGAGCCATCTCTCCAGACCCCAACTATTCATTTCTTTAAAAGTTCCTATAAAATGCTTTCCAAGAAGCATTCCAATAGTCATTTGCATTTTAAACAAATCTACAAGGTAGTTCTTTCAAAGTAAGATTTTATAGAAAAAGGCAAACAGCAAAAGAGTCTCAGTGGAGCATTAAAAGATGTAGGGCCACACCGCAAGGACCCAAGAGTCTTCTTAAGTAGCCAGCTCAATGAGTGACTTCGTGTGTGTGTGTGTGTGTGTGTAGTGTGGATGCACATGTGTGTGCACAGGTGTGTGGAGGCCAGAGGAAAGCCTCAGATGTTGTTCCTCAGAAAACACCATCCACCTTCTTTGAGACAGGATCTTTCATTGTCCTGGAGCTCACAGATTGGGCCAGACTTGCCAGCAAGCCCAGGAATCCTCCCTTCCCCTCCTCAGCCCGGGGATTACAGGGGTACAGCACCATGCAGCCATTTTTATGTGGGTTCTAGGGATCAAAGTCAAGTTCTTTACTGACAGCTATCTCCCCTGCCTTGGTGACTTCTTTTCTTGACACTTCTGCTCTCCTCCTCTCTCACCCAATCCAAAGGGGCCTTCTAAAGACATCATTCATATAAGTGCCCCAGAAGAGCTAATGTCAAGGGCCTGCAGCTCCTAAAATCTTCCTGTCCTTTGCAAAAGTCTAATGCAAATGACTAGAACTTTGACTTTTCTTCCTACAATAGATATCTTAAAGAATGTACTGCCCACACTACATCGTGATGCAACCAAGAGACAGATGGACCACCTTCGCTTATGGGGTGGGAAAACTGATATAGGAAGATGGGGGAGCCACTGGTCAAAGATCAGAGGAGTTGGGCCATTTTAACTGCAGCTGAGTACCCAGGAGTGCTCTCATTTCCTCCCATTTTAGATGGGTGCCATTATGATCTTGTTTTACAAAGGAAGTCTGTTGCAACCAATCTGCAACCTTGGATTCACCACATTTCTTTCCAAATCACTTTTGCTTTTTAAGACAGTATCTTACTATGTTGCCCAGGCTGGCCTCAAATCCCTCGGCCTAACCACTTCTTCTTGCCCCAGCCTCCTGATTAACTGGACAACAGATACTCAGCAAGGCCCCCATTTTGGCAAACCTTGTTTTGATACAAGCAGACGATCTCTCAAGAAGGATTTGTGGTAAGTCAGTAGTTACTCCTTGGTACTTGACTTCCTGGATGCATTGAGTTAAGCTCATGTGAATGCAATTTACAAAGTTAAATGAAAATGTTTGGGAGTGGCAGGATCGGGGAAGTGGGGTGCGATAATGTAGATGGTGTGGAATGCCATCTTAGCTAAGGCAAGACTCCTCCTGGTGGAGGAGGGCTGTGAAATTTTGACCACTGGCTATGCTGGGTTTAGCCCTGATACTCTTTCTATCTTTCCTACAAGGTTTTATTTTTGTCCTGGGCTTTTCTCCTTGATCCACTTTCAACTTGAAGTCTGGGCCTCTGATTATAGGTACCTGTCAGAAGGTTTAAAGGATGAAACCTCTTCATAGCCATATAAGAGCATTCTGATAGGCCCCTTCTGCAAACTCAGGCCTGAGAACTCACATTTTCAGCTCCTCAGCTTCATATTGAACACCTCCAGTGAGCAGAGACCAAGCTCATGACACTGACAGCTGATCAAGGAGAACAATATTGAGGGATACACAGTCAGGCCATTGCACTGCTGATCACCTCTCCATGGGGGAATCTCTGAGAGAGGACCCTCTTCATCTGCAGGGATAGGTAAGCACCCAGGAAGAACACCTGATGTCCTGAATGCCATTATTGATCTCTGAATGCCACATACTTTCAGAAATGGGCTGGATTCTCACCAACCCAAAATTACAAATGTTTTCCATGCCTGGGAAGTTGCCTAGCTGAGTATGGCGCAGAACAAGGCCAGCACATAGTAGGTGTTTTAGGGACTTCTTGATAAACAAAGTTATGTTTTAAACTTTTTATTTATTATTTAATCCCAGCACTTGGGAGACAGAGGCAGGTGTATCTCTGTGAGTTCAAGGCCAGTTGGGTCTACATAGTGAGTTCTAGGTCGTCTAGGACTACAGAGAGACCGTGTCTCAAAAAGACCAAAATTTTTATTTATATTTATTTATTTTATGTGTATGAGTGCTTTGCCTGTGTGCATGTAAGTGTACCATGTACACACAATGCCCAAGGAAGCCAGAAGAGAGTGTCAGATCCACTGGAACTAGAGTTACTGGTGGTTGTTATCTGCCACATTGGTGCTGGGAACCAAACCTGGGTCCTCTGCAAGAGCAGCCAGTACTCTTAACTGCTGAGCCATCTCACCAACCCTGTAGTATTTTTGTTGTTTTTAAGAGAACCTCATTCTGTAACCCAGGTTGTCCTATGTAGCCCACAGTATGTAGCCCATACTGGTTTCAGTGATCCTCCTGCCTCATCCTCTTGAGTGCTAGGATTATAGACATGAGCCACCACCACTTTCAATTTGTAAGTGAAGTCTTGTAGCCCCAGTGAGCCTACCCCAAAGGCCAGGCTTCATGCTCTAGAGCACCCAGGCTCTTTTGGGGACCCAAGGCTAGGAATCCTGTTCAGACAACTATGCCAATCATGTCTATGCCCACCATCATGGAGCAATTCAGAAACCTGCTCCTGCATTCTAATCCACTAGTCCCTGTGGTGCCCTAACAGCCTCCAATCAGAGTCTTCCATCCTAGCCAAAGACCCAGCTCCATTTTGTCCATTGGTTCATTCTGGTAATATATTATCCTAATCTGGCCAGAGACGCCATTTTAGAGCCAAACAATACAAAGAAGAAAACTCCGAGGGGCTGGTATAGCCTTTGCCTCGGCTACGATTGCATCTCTAAACATGAAGTTTTCTTTATAAAGATCCACCAGATGGTGAAGAGAAAAGGTTTCTTTTCAGCTCACAGTTTTGGAAATTTCAATCGATAACCAACTGTCTCCCTTGCTTTAGGTCTATGATAGCACAGGTCATCTTGGCAGGAGTACATGGCAGAGGGGTCTGCTCGCCTCACAGCCAGGTGCAAAAGAGAGACAGGATCGGAGTCCCCATATCCTTTTTAGGACCACATCCCCATATGACTCTAGGCCTCACCTCTTGAAAGTTCCATCACCTTGAAATAGCTCTACTGGCTATAGACCTTTAATATATGGACCTGTGAGGGACACTTGTCTAAAATATAGCAAAGTTCTAAGAAAGAAGCTGGGCTTTGCCCATGCCCTTCCAGGGAATCCTTCTTGAGGAGTGGGACCAAGTAAGAGCAGGCTGAGGACACAGCCTATTGCCCTGTCTTCCCAGAGGTCGGGTCATGGATTGGGTTCAGCAGGACTGAAAGGCAGGCCTTCCTGGCCAATGCAACCCTTTCTCTACCACCTACGTGAGCACTCCTGCCCTGGGAATAGGTGGCGCCTGTGGGTTCTGCCAGCCTGCAGAATTGCAAATACATCTGCCCCACCTCATACACCTGGTCCTCTATAAGATGGCCACTGAGTCTCTACTGAAGCTGTCTGATCCCTCAAATCCCATCCTGCTTGCAGAACCTAGGAGTAGTAGGGGTCCTGGTTGTGTTAGGACATCCTACAGAAGGGCAAGAGTGGCAGACAGCACACGTTAAACCAGAGTCTTTAGTTCTAAACCCTGGTTCTGCCACATATTATTTATATGACATTTGATAAGACACAGAACCCCTTTGACTCTTCATTCAGTA